ACTAAACGTAGGCCCTGACCATGTAGGTCTTCGTCGTTGATGGTGCGCATGTCAATCCATAACGCGTACTTATCATTAAAGAATTCCTCGGGACTAATTTGGTCGCCAAACTTGCGCATGGCCTCTCTGTACACGTCTGTGGGCTTTATTCCCTGGGAGTAGACCTTGTTGGGTACTTCGTTGACATTTACCCCCACGTTAGTAATGTTGGGGTTGTGAAAGGCCTCGGAGTCGCGCTTACCAGCCTCATAGGGTTTGGCGAACACCAACATCAGCCCCGTGAGACTTCTTCGGGGGAGGTTAATACTTTGGTTAATGACCTCATCCGTCTTATCCAAGAAGCTAAATGTCTTGTACATCACTACGTGGTCGTAAAGGAATGCCTTGCCGGAGCTGTATTCCATACCGGCGCTACGAGCCAGCTCTTCACTGTACACGGTCTCGTACTGCAGCTCTAAGTTGGTGATGGAATAGGGATCCACGGCTCCACTGATTGCGGTGTCCATTCCTCCTATGACATTCGTAGTGCCCGCCAAGGTTACTTCAAACTGTAACTCGGATAACTGTCTGGGGTAATACACACCATGGTTCGTAATCACTTCGAAATCCAATGGTATGACATACTTGCTACCATAGGCGGTCTCTACCCTCGTCGCGTCTGCTACTGCGGTTGCTCCGCTGGAGTCCGTAGGCGCCGGGTTGGTGTCGCTGCGAAGCTTACGTAGGATAACACTACCAATTCCTTGTTCCACCCGCTGTGCACGGTCGAAGGCTGTTAGCCATAAGTCTTTATAGGTGGTGTACAAATCGTACCTATTTAAGTCCAAGAGGGATTCCCCGGCAAACTTAATTCTCATCTTAGAGACGAGGTTCCTGCCCACGTTATTAACGGTGTAACGCTTGTCCTTTGTGCTTGGTTGTATTGCTAGGTCAAACCTTAATGCCAGGGTACCGGGAACCAATACTAGGTTATCCGTTAGACGGGGTACGCCTACATACAGCGTCTCCCCTGGTTTTGCGCTGCTGGGTGTGAATGTGACCCGGTGAAAGGTGCGTTCTGCCTTTAGTCCACCAACCTGCTTAGGTAATATGTTGGGATTTAACTTTGAGCTTATCATATATAATGGAAGGAACGGATTTTGACCCCACTACTGAAGAAGGTCAAATTAATATTAACGATGAAGAATACGAGTCTTTACTTCCCGATGACAACGTAGACGGGTGGAGCCTTTTCGATAAGCTAAGACGTAAATATGGCAGCAGGGCCCGCGATGCTATGCGCTCCCTAAGAGACAAATTCAAATCTAAGAATCCCCACGAACCCGTCCCGGAGTATCTACAAATGGAAGACTTACACCTTACAGACGCAAAAACTGAAATGTTAAGAGAAGTGATTGACAACGTAAGGCAGCGATATCCTAATGCAAACCTAGCCCTCTTAGAGTTTGGGGTAGGAGATAAAGGCCAAATCCAAGTCCGATACGCAGGTAGAGAAAAATGGTACAACTTTTATCAAAGAACGGACTCTACCCTACTTAACAATGGCCTTTCAAAAGAAATAACGACGGCGTTGGGAAATCCTAACCTAACAATGTTGTCTGTCCTAAGCGAAATGGAAACTACGAGGCTCCGAGGAAACATCCTTAGGATCATCAAGACGCCAAGCGTCAAAGCAAGCATTGAATCTATGAATACACTACTTAATAAGCAACAAGAAAATCTCCAGCAATTAGAAACCGCTGAAGAGGAAAAAAGTAAAGAACTCGAAGAACTTCCGCTAAGTAGCAGCGCAGCCGCAGACTTGGCAAGCGACCTACGAAACGTAAAAGCTGAAAAGGAGGCACTTCTGAAGGAAATGCAGGAAAGCAGGGTAACTATTGACGACCTCACGCGACAACTTGAAGAAGCGGCTGGGGAGTTGAACGACATCGTCAATCACCTTGATAATACCAGGGAGGAAAACCAAGCATTACAGGAGCGCATAAAAGAACTGGAGGACGAATTAATGAAGCAAAGCAGATTGACTGTCGAAAGTCGTGCCGCCGAAATCGCAGACTTCAAGGCTAGGCTCTCTAAGCTGCTAGAAGAAAAGAGCGCTGCAAGAAATCAGCTAAAGGCTGCTTTGAACAAGGTGGCGGGGAAAGACGCAGAACTACAGCGCTTAGGAAAAGAATTAACAGATTCCGTTGACAGAGAAAGGCAAGTCATGGCGGATAAGGCGGTGGCGGAGGAGCAAATTAGGCAACTTCAGCAGGCCGTCGAAGACCTGGAGGGGCAATTGGAGCGGCAGCAAGAAATAGTCGCAGACCAAACTCGTCCCGAAGAGGAAAGGGAGGCAGCCCAAAAGGAAGTGGAAACCCTTCAGGAAAGAGTTGCGGAATTACGGACACAAAAGGACAAACTGGAAAAGGAGTTGGGGCTTACCACCAAGGAAAAGGTAAAAAGAGCCCTTTTGAAGTATGGCATTCCGCTGGCATTT